TGGGGAAACTCCCTTGCAAGCCTTTCCAGACTTTCTGTGCAGACTGTATACACCTTGAATATTGATTCCCAATGTTTAGAACCAATTTCTCCCCAGAAGACTTCTGTGGGAACCCTTAGTGACAATGAGGGGTAGACGCTGTCTAACAGATCCATACTGGATATCTACACTGCAGCTACCCAAAGCTTCCGCAATCTGTCCATTGTAGTCCACACAGGTGACACTCAGGTTTCAATAACTTGGGGACAGGGTGCCGAAACAACTGGAAGAACGTGTTTTCATCTATGAGGGATACTCCGGAACCCAAGTCCACTTCCATTTTGCACTTCTTTCCATTTATTACTACAGTTGCAGTCATCTCAGAACCTTGAGTTTCAACAACACCAATATTTTGAATCAAATATAGTTTTTGTACCTCACATTCTGGGGAGGACCCTAATCTGTGATGGTTTGGGAATGAATACATTTGCACGAGTCTTTTTGTCTCCCGGGACTGGCCTTCCAGCGGCAAACCCTCTGTGTGTCCCTTCTTGCAGCCACGACACACCACACTCCTAAACCTGCACTCCCTTTGTCTGTGTTGGCCACCACAACTCAAACATGTCTGTGGATTAATTGGCCTACATGGTGCTGTTGGTGAGGGTATAATCCACTGAATTTGCTGGTGAAAATCTGATCTTTTTGGAGTAAGTGGACATTGCAGGAGAATGCCTGGTGAATTTGTTTCATGTTATGGGATGCTGCTTCAGCTGCCAAGGCTTTTTCTTGTGCAGCAGCCAAGGTCAAATTTGGTTCAGAGTGCAGGCAATGTTGGATTGCTTCATCTTGAACCCCATAGATGAGACCGCCATGAAGCAGGCCGTCCAGGAGATCACCAAACTCACAAAATTCAGCAAGGCAACAGAGCTCAGCCAGCTCATCTGCTATGCCTTCGTTGGCCTTTTGGTCCTGTTTAAAAAAAAAATCTCTGCAGGGTAACAGATAGCCTTGGGCAAAAATGTGTCTTTAGCAGGGCAATTAGTTCAGCATAATACTTAGTGTTTGGCAAGGCAGGTGCTGTGAGGGAACGAACAATGGCAAATGTTTGGGCACCACAGACTGTCAGGAGGATTGCACACTTCTGTGCTGGGTTTTCCACTTTGTTGGCTTCCAGGTAACAGGATAGCCTCTCAGCATAAGAGTCCCAAGAAGCCGGCTGGCTCACATCAAATGCTCCTCTGTGACCCAATGTGGCCATTTAACTACCATCAGCCATATTAAAGAGAAAAGAAGAAGGAGAAAAAAAACTTCCCTCTGATCACAAAACAGAGCCTGATCTCAGAATGTCGTCCCACCATCTAGGGCGCTCTTTTCAGCAAAGGATCCCATCCTCATCGCCAGATGAGATGTTGTCAGTTCAGCAACACACTCTGGACACTGCTGTGTTGAACTAACAGTCATTTATTATTATAACTCTCTGGAATCATATTGGGGGGGGATCTTAACAGTTGCCTGTATATACACATAGAACTTATACTTATGTGTATATATATATCCATAAGTATACATATACAATATATGTATCAGTACTTGCATATAATGTATATGTATGCAGAACTTATACTTGCTCTGCCTCTAACTCGACCCAGTCCAGTCCTGTGGAGAGAGAGAAACCAAGAAAGCCCCTGGCTTCCCATGGCAGAGACAATGGAGTCCCCAGAGCTGCAAAACTGCCATGAGCAACTGAATATGCAGTGCTGGTCATGAGGGCTTTGGCCTTAAAGGGACAGTGCAGGGAAACACAATAAGACACAACAGCTATGGAGCGTACAAGTGATTCCCGAGAACAACAAATGTAAAAACAGGGATGGGAGTGTGGGTCAAAGGTTGATAACAAGTGCTCCAAGCGGCGGACACTGAGCAGAGTGTACTCCTATCTGACAGGCCTGTTTGATGTGCCAAAAGATCATGCCCTGAAGCCCATCACAAACTACTATAAGTCTCCCTTAATAAGGGAGGCCACTGGGGGAACATCAGCTAATTCCAGGAGATAATAAGGGTTTTGGAAAGGGGCACTGAGCAGCACCCACTGCCTCCTGAATACGTCAAGAGAGCCCGAGTTATGGGAGCGCTCTGTGGATGCCAACCAGTGAAACTGCCTGGAGATGTGAGCAGGGAAGTAACAGAAAGACAGGCCCACGCTTGCCCAGGTTCCTCCCAGCCAGAGTCTCCTTCCTGGTGTTGTAGATGGCTAGCTTTGCCAGAGCCAGGATGTTGACCAGGAGGTCCCAGGGCTTGGATGGGCCATGCAGGGGGTACAAAAAACAAAAGGTGCGGGGAGAAGTGCAGCCAGCACCTCAGGAGGAGGTTCGGGAGAAGGCAGAAAAGGGGCTGCAACGTGGCACGCTTGAAGTAGGCACTCTCTGAGACAGGGTACCCTTGAAGGGAGTGTCAGGAGTCAGGGCAGCAGGCAGGCTAAATTGCTCCCAGCTGAGCAGGCTTCGCTGCCATCAGTCTACCTCCAACTGCTCCCAATTGCCTGCATAGCCATGGTTGCCTGCTTATAAGGCAGACTTCTTTCAGTATCCAGCAGTAGGGTTGTGCAAGGCTTTGGACAGAGCTTCAGATTCGGGGATGCTTCGGGGTGGGAAGCAGCATGTCCAGGTCGAAGCGCTGCCTCGTTCGGCTTCCCGAAGCGCCTCAGAGCCGCCTCGGAGATCCAGCCATAGGGTATAACGGGGAAACAATAAAATAGCTATAACTTTGTTGTTTTTTGTCCAATTTGGATGAAATTTTCAGGGTTGGTAGACTCTGCAGAGAGGATGAAGCCTACCAAGTTTCAAGAAGATCAGTGTAAGGGTTTGGGGGGAACTGCACCCCAAATTGTTGAAAGCAAAACTCCTGTCACGTCTAAGTGTTACAACATAGCGGGGTGAAAACTGCAGGGGTGGTAGCTCTTGCTGAGGCCACAGAGCCTGCCCAGTTTCAAGAAGATCGGTGCAGGCGTTTGGGGGGAACTGCCCCTCAAGCAGCAGACAAGCAGTGCCGTGGGTGCTGTGGGACTGACCGTCTCTGTCTTGGGGCGGGAGAGGAGACAGGGCTGCAGACCTGGCTGCTGAGCTGCTGTTACCAGTTACCAATCAATCAGTCGTGATTCACTCAGGGGCCAGGGATTCAGGGACCAGCTCAATACACAGGACCTACCTACTATGTAAGGACTTGACTTAAGGAGCATCAATTAGCACCTACAAAACCAGGCTAAGGAGAGGAAAGACTCAATACAGACAAACAACTGCCCCAGGACAGACCCAGTCTTGGCACTGGTTTTGTCTGTCAGCAGCTAGGGGTGCAGTTCCCCCTAAACCTCTGCACTGATCTCCTTGAAACTTGGCAGACTTTGTGGCTTCAGTAAGAGCTACGACCCCTGCAGTTTTCACCCCCCTGTGTTGTAACGCACAGCCGTGACATAAGTTTGGCTTTCATAAATTTGGGGTACAGTTCCCCCCACACCCTCACACCGATTTTCTTGAAACGTGGCAGGTGTCATGCTCTCAGCAGAGGCTACAATCCCTGCAAGTTTCATCCAAATCAGACAAAGCAAAGTTATAGATATTTAATTGATTCCCTGTTATACCCTATGGCCAGATCTCCGAGGCAGCTCTGAAGCTTCAGAGCCGCTTTGGCCAGACGGAGGTGGAAACCGGGTCTGGAGCTCTGGATCGGACTGCGGCCATCTGAAGTGGCCGGATCCAAAGCCGGATTGAATCGCTGCCAACTTGCACAGGCCTATCCAACAGTAGGGGTGTGCAAACTGGGCCTGATTTGATTCAGATTCGGCCCAAAACAGGGACAGTGATTCGATTCGTTGATTCAGATCACTGTCCCTGATTTGATTTGGCCGAATCCAAATCCGAAGCTTCAAAGCTAATTCAGAGAATCAGTGATTCGGACATAGGCACAGCTTTAAAAGTTTTTTCTACATACCTTGAGGTACCAGTGCGGCTTCTGATCACTATGATGCTGGGGTGCACGGAGCGTCCCACAGGAGTGCAGGGGGACCCTCCACATGCTTGGTGGTGAACTTTCTGGGTCTGCTGGGGAGCACGTGCCCCCCCCCCCCCGTGTTCCCTTAGCCTGGGGATTGGCTGCTGGGGGACCTGGGGTGCCCCCCCAGACCCAGGAGGCACCAGTTGCTGAGCTGGGGGGAGAGGTACAGGGGGGCAGCATGCTCCCTGGCAGACCCAGAAGTGGAGTGGAGGTGCTTCTGGTCCACTTCTGGGTCTGCTGCTGAGCATGCTGGGGAGCTCCCGTGCTTCTGTGGGACTCTCCATGTGCCCCAGCATCACAGCATGTACGATCCCCTGCTACAAGGGGCACATAGAAAAAAATATTTAAAGCTGTCTCTATGTCCAAATCTCTCTGAATCGATTTGGAGGGTTCCAATTCAATTCAGAGAGATTAAAGGGTCCTCTGATTTGATTTGGATTCGGAGATTTGGCCACTGAATTGGGCCAAATCGAATCGGGGACTGAAGCTTCACACAGCCGTACCCAGGAGGCTGCTCAACAGGACAGATGTCTCTCTGTTTGGTCCTGGGCTTCTGACTCCTTGTTGGCTTTCTGTCTTCATCAGCAGGACATACTGTTTCTTGCTTGCTGACTCCTTGTTCCAGACTCCAGCCTAGATCTCTTTTGCTCCTAATTTGCTGACTCCTGACCTCTTAGAGCTACAGCTGCCTGTCCCAGACCGCCTAGCTAGAAACTCTGGTGTGCATCAGAAGTTCCAACATCCCTGGCTTATGACTGCCCAGGATAACTGCTTACTTCTCAGTCTTACTTCTGCACCCCTAGCTGCTGACAGGTTCTGGACTCTTGTCTGGAGCTTCTCTGGACCTAGTCCTCTGGGTTGCAACCCTGATTGCCCACATCGCAGTCTTACCCCCAACAAGAGAAAAAGGTGGGACTCTTCTGTCTCCATCCCAGCATGAGAGGTTCACAATGTACAGCAGAGCTCAGACCTACCTCATATCTCCAGACCCCTCCGATGTCACTACTTCTCTCGAAGCAGGTAGGTTCGAGCCCCTCATCCAAGCAGCACTTCAAGGATAACAGCCCAGAAACACCAGCTCCAATAATTGCAACCTTCCTGTTTGCCATGAGGCTTGGTGTCCAAGAGTTTTGCTAGCCAACTGGCAGAAAGGAAGTCTCAGGATGTGTCTTCTGCAGACACGTTTCAGAGCTCCGAAGGAGTCACAACTGCTTGTGCTGTCCTGGTGAAGAAATGACCTGTGTCAGTGTGCTTCACTGGATGAGCTACTAGCCAGTGAGTGCCCAGCATGTATTACCATGCAAAAGTGGGACCAGTTGCATAATTCACTCCTGCTGGGATTGCAGTCTTGTTCAGCTGTGTAATAAAACTAAGCATTGCCCAAAAACAGGCCTTACAGGGCTCCAGCGACTGCTCTGTAGCACCTATCCCACTTCACACCCTCCCCAGGGGGACTTACTCCCTTTGCAGTCCTTCACTTTTCCCCACCTCAGCTCTGGCTGGTCAAAAGCCAGTACTCAACAATCCCCTCCAGGTGATACCTGTGTCTGAAGCCATTCCCCAGAGTTAAAGCCTCCTGCTGGCCTCTCTGCAGTCTCACCAGCCAGATCTGGCTCTGTTGCTCACTTCAAGTAGCCACAGATGGGAGCAGCATGGGCTGCCTCTGTGCAAGGCTGGCGGGAGAGAGCAAATCCCCCCCGCTTATTGACAGCAACTGCAGCTACCACAGCTCTATGGCAGAATGCAGGGGCTGGCAGAAGCCATTTCTTTGCCTGGGATTTTTCGCACTTGGCAAGGGAGATTCCAGCTTGGCTGAAGGCTGTGGTAGGTGTTTGTTCCTTCCCATCCTAGTCCTTCCCACTCAAGCACTTTCCTATACATCACCTTGGCTGCACTGCCTGTCTCTTATTAACTGACTGTACCTCACAGGGCCTTAGGTCATGCACCTCCTGGAAGCCATGTCCAACTTGGGGAAGCCCTGCAGAAGGGAAGCAGTGGCCTTCAACTCTGACTTAGCTGCAGTTGCTCCAAAGGAAGGGAAGGAACCTTACCTTGGTCTAAGCCTGAGCAGCTCCAGCAAAACAAAACTCATCAAGCAGAGGTGGAAGAAAAGGGAAAATTGTATTGCTTTTGCATAAGCAGCAGCCTAAGCGTGCTCCTCCTTTTTGCATATGCATTTTGGCACAATCCTTAATCACATGATCACTTACTATTTTTCCCCAACACAGCTTCATTCAGGTTATTCAAGACTTTCTTCTTTCCTTCTTCCTTTCTTCCTTCCCTTGGGATCATGTGCTCACAGCAGGTTTCAGCTTTCACCCCTAACCTAACAGTAAGATCCTAGTTCACTGATTCTCAACCATGATATTAGGGCACCCTAAGGAGTCTTAAGATCCTTTTAGGGATATCACAAGGTGGTGCACAAAGTTAATACCATCAGGTATACAAGATAAACCAGAGATTTTACATTGTAATCCGTAGTGTTAAAGGCATTCTGTGCTGGTGTGAGCTTTTTAAAGATCTTTACAGCAGAAGGATCATTCTATTTCTTTTTCAAAAAAAAAAGAAAAAAGTGAAAGCTCAGAGTTAGCATTTTATGAGCAGTGCCTCGAGTCTATAAGGCTAGGGACAGACATTAAAAAAGCCTGAGCCTGAATTGATTCAATCTTTGCAGGTTAATCTAACCTGGCTAGACTGAACCATTTTGTGACCAGACATTTTCTCTGGACTGAGGAAATTCAGGCACATGCCTGCAGTGGCTCAGGCTAGAAGCCAGGGGTGCTAAAGCAGCCCTCCCTTCCCTTCCAGAGTACTGAGCTGGGGGAGGAGGCATGGCCAGGCCCCGGCAGGACCTCTGATTAGGGAGGTGTGACTGCTCCATCCCAGGCTTTTCCCCAATGGCTGCTCAAGGGGTGGGAGTGTTGCCAGACTCCAGCCCCCTGCTAGCATTCTGAGGCAAAGGGGTGGGAGGTGGGGCATGCGTGTGTGCAGCGCATGCATCTGTCGATGATACGGAGCTTTTCAATCTCCCTCTCTCTGCTTCTGTATACTGTCTGCAGCAAACTGATAGGCAAGCAAGCCTGCAGGAAGCTGATCTGGATGATGGGGTGGAAAGTAACCTGTTTAAATTTGCTGATGACACCAAAATTTGGGGGGAGGTGAGCACGCTAGCAGGGAGTGAGAGATTGCAGAGGGATCTGGATAGGTTACAGGGGTGGGCTAACAGGAACAGGATGCGTTTCAATACGGACAAGTGCAGGGTGCTGCACTTGGGCAGTAGGAACCAGCAGCACACTTACACAATGGGGAACTCCCTACTTGAGAGCACGGAGGCAGAAAGAGATCTTGGAGTCATTATTGACTCCAAGATGAACATGGGCCGACAATGCGAGGTCATGGTTGGCAGGGCTAACCGGACCTTGTCGTGCATCCACAGGTGCATCTCGAGTAGAGCCAAGGAGGTGATCCTCCCCCTCTACGCGACGCTGGTCAGGCCACAGCTGGAGTATTGTGTCCAGTTCTGTGCGCCCCATTTCAAGAGGGATGTGGACAACATGGAGAGGGTCCAGAGGAGGGCCACCCGCATGATCCGGGGACAACAGGGCAGACCCTACAGTGAGAGACTGCGGGACCTGAACCTATTCAGCCTCCACAAGAGAAGGCTGAGGGGGGACCTGGTGACCGTCTATAAATTCACTAGGGGGGACCAGAAGGGTTTGGGGGAGACGCTGTTTCCCCTAGCGCCCGCTGGCATAACAAGGAGTAATGGGCACAAGTTGATGGAGAGGAGGTATAGATTGGACATCCGCAAAAACTACTTCACAGTTAGGGCGGCTAGGAGCTGGAACCAACTTCCAAGGGAAGTGGTGCTGGCCCCTACCCTGGGGGTCTTTAAGAAGAGGCTGGATGCCTACCTGGCTGGACTCATTTGAGTCCCATTTCTTGTTTTGGGGTTTTGTTGTTCTCCCGCCCTGGCGGGGGGTCGGGCTAAAAGATCTACTAGGTCCCTTCCGACCCTAAATCTATGAAACTATGAAACTATGATAGCAGTGTTCATCACCCCATTAGCAAAACAATAGCCTCTCTCCATTAATTCAAGCTCTTCTTAAACAGCTTACCAGCTGACCTGTTGATTAGCTCCAAAAAGCCCTAAGTGGTCACTGTTCTGTCTGCCTGTCACAGTGAAGTTGCAGACACACACACACTGATACCTCTCAGCATTAGTAAGCATACCATGTGCTTAAGGCCTGTGGGGCTGGGGTCTATGCTGTGGGAGATGAAAGGGAGGGGGGGATCCCTGCTCCAACAGTAAGCAGCAAGGGTGGGTGTGTGTGGGGTGGGGGGGAACAGAGGAGGCCAGGCAGACCCTGCTGTGCCTGCAATCTCTGCAGGAGCTCCAGCCAGGAAGCAGAGGGGAGGGGACAGCCCTGCTGTGGAGTAGAGAATCCTGCCCAGCCCAGAGAGCATGCCAGGATGCTGGGGGAGTCTGGTTTATCTTAAACCAGCAAGAGGTCTGGGACAGATATTGCATAAACTGGTTTGAGCCAAATCAGTTAAGTCTGATACTATATTCAACCAGGTTTATCTCAAACCAGTTTCAGTCATTTTCAAACTGGTTTATGTGTACTGAATATCTCTTCTGTTACAGGTTTAAACCAGTTTCTGATCACTTAAATGGGTTTATGTGTAATGTCTGTCCCTAGCCTAAAAGTTGAGAACTACTGTCCCAGGTCCTCCCCTGCTTGCATAGGCAGACTTGAAAATGTGAATCCTAAATGCTCTTTTGGAGAGTGCAAAGAAAGACAACTTGGCAAGGGTTATTTTTAAAACTCATGATTTTTGAAGCCAGGCTTAGGCTTCCAGTGAGGACTAGACTTGGCAAGTCTTGAATGTTTGGGGTTGGTTGCACTGGATCTTTGGAATAAGCAAAAGGCTAAACAATGGGACCAGCTTATTTCCTGCAGGGTTTCCTGAATTTTAGCCTCAGTTCTAAGGGGCTTAGTGTTCTGTCCCCTGGCAGATTGAGGCTAGATCTCTCCCACGCAGCAGCCCCCTTCTTCTCCCAGGAGCAATACAGCCCTTCAGGGTCTCAGCCACAGAGAGCAAGAGCAAAAAAATACAAGGCCCAGAGAAACTGCAGCTCATCTTACACACTGGCACAGGACCTTGGCTTGAATCCTTTTCTTAGGGCAAGCCCCAAAGCTCTACTCTGAAAGATGGGCTGCTTTACAGTAGTTTGTCATTGAACCCATATCCCCCCCCTGCCTCCTTCTTTCTGAAACCCCTTTTCCACTCTCCAATACCTGGTCTTATATGTCTTATCCCAGGAATCTAAGACTAGGTTAAGGAAATTGTGAAAAACCTTCATGTGCACTGGCTGTCACTCTGATCACTCTGATTATATGTTAGATCCTTGCTACTACCTCATGGAGTCTGGAAGATCTCTAGGGAGTAACAGGGCCCTTTCCTCTCCTCTGGCTGGCTGGCTGGCCAGCAGAGCTGTCTGCATGCTGTTTGCCACATTTGCAGTCAGCCAGGCTACTGAGCTGTCCAGTGCAGGGAACAGCACAGACAAAGGACTCTCTGAAGGGCCCCATCTGTGCTCTGCAGAGGGTTTCTAAACTGTTCTTGTTGCAGTTTGCTTCTAGCCCTGCAGCGAGCAGCCTCTGCACACAATTTCCTATGGGACAGGCTGGTCTCTTAGTAGGGTATAAATTGACCAATAAGGTGTCTAGATTTTGTAGTCAAAAGCTACTTTGCCACAAGCAGCAACAGCATGTTTCAGATAGAGGTGGTCTACCTGAGTCAGAAAAGTCATGTTGCCAGTCTGGCAAGTAGTGCATGTAGCTGCCATATTAGAATCCAAGATGACTGCCATTAATTCACATTTGGATCAATATTTCAGCCCCCAATGAGGTTGGAATTTATTTTCGAATGATAAAACCAACACTGTATGAACCGAGGAGACCAGTCATAAAATTTTGTTGTGGTAGCCGTAGATTCATAGATTGTAAGGGGCTGGAAGGGACCTCGCAAAATCATCAGGTCCAGCCACCCTGCACTAGGCAGGAAAGACAATTGGGGGGTCAGGTGACCCCATCAAGGTGACCATCCACTCTTCTCTTGAAGATTTCCAGGGTAAGTGATTGCACCACCTCTGGAGCGAGTTTATTCCACAGTCTGGACACCAAGTTTTTTCTAGAGTTAAGCCTGAAACAGTCTTTCAGGAGTTTGTGGCCATTACTCCTGGTTTTACCCAAGGGTGTGCTGGTGAACAGTTGTTTGTTGAGCTCTTGATGTATTCCCCGGATACAGCGGTAAGCTGCTACTAAGTCCCTTCTCTTTTTTTAGGCTGAAGAGACCCAAGTCCCTCAGCCTTTCCTTGTATGGCTTCTCTTGCAAGTCTCTGATCATACAGGAGGCTCTTCTCAGACTCTCTCAAGCTTTTTCACATCCTTGTTGAAGTGCAGTGCCCAGAACTGGACACAGTACTCCAGCTGCAGTCTCACCAATGCTGAGTAAAGCGGAAGAATCATTTCCTTGGTTTTGCTTGAGATGCATCGGTT